TTTGATACTTGGTGTATATGTATTTTGGGTAGACCTCTCTCAGATTTGTTCATTTCATGATGATATCTGCAATTCTCTAATTTTGGTGAATATTTTTGTCATTTTTGGTAAAAAGTGATATTTTCGACTTCTTGTTAAAAACCTCAAGTCCAATTGCTTTGATATTACATATATAGGTACTACATATGAACCTCTCTCAGATTTGTTCATTTCATGATGATATCTTTAATTCTCTAATTTTGATGAATATTTTTGTAATTTTTGGTAAAAAGTGATATTTTCGACTTCTTGTTGAAAACCGCCAGTCCAATTGCTTTGATATACTATACATATAGGTACTACATGTGGACCTCTCTCAGATTTGTTCATTTTCTAATGATATCTTCTGTTCTTTAATTGCCATGTGCATTGCTAACAGCGGAGCTATCTCAGCCGACAGGCTGCTTGTTTTCATGAGAAACGTAGTTTCGGTGAAGATACAAAATAACACCAATCACATGACTGATATTTTCATTTGGACACTGCAGTAACACATGATATTTTCACTCCTGTAACAATAGAAATCAGGGGATAACATACACTTTTACTGGTAAAATTTCAGAATGTGACTGGTTTATATGGTTTGATAAAATTTCCATAGAAATACATAATAATAGCATCATGTATATTGTTTGTTTTTTTATCTGCAGAAGAAGATTTCATGACTTTGTCAGCGAAATTTGACATTTTGCCGAGACCATTAAAAATTCATCACATAGTAGAAGACTTTTTAACTTTATTCACAGCCCCAAATAGGTAAGTCTATTACCTGTAGTATTACCATGAAAAATGTACCAAGATGTTTACCACCAACAATTGCCACATGTACAACCTTTTTTCTGTGTCATCACTTATTACTAATGCCTGCCCCAACCACGATATATCTCAACTCATATAACTTCTAATCAGCCAGAGCCCTGAGCTAATTAGTATAAATATTATATTTGGAGCACTACTGCAGTTGAAAACTAGATCTGATCAACTTATTTTCAACTTCATTATATTCTAATCCAAGCCACTATTGATCATTTTATACATCTCGTACTACATTGTAGTGTTAAACTTTCATATATTGTCATTTTCAGCCATATCTTGCCATTACGCCGATTTATTGAGTCATGTCTTGACACCGATCTGCGTAATTTCTATGATATTCAGTGTTTTAGCGTAGCAATGACTAGTCAAGATTTACCGTGGATGTGTCAGCAACATGATTATCAACTCCAGATGGGCTTGTCAGGAGAACGAACTGGAACAATGAATAATGACCAAAGAGGGGAATTAACATTTGGGACATAGTTAGTTCTAGCTCAGTCATTATACTTTATAGATGAAACCCTCTAGCTCAGTCATTTTAATTTACAGATGAAACCCTCTAGCTCAGTCATTATAATTTACAAATAAAAACCTCTAGCTCAGTCATTATAATTTACAGATTAAACCCTCTAGCTCAGTCATTATAATTTACAGATTAAACCCTCTAGCTCAATCATTATAAATCTTCTGGACTGCATTGCGATATAAAGACACCTCTAAATGTTTTCCTCTAGGGGGCATTGTGCGACAACAGGGAAAATTGACTACAAAATGTAGTCTCATATTGGGGATAGCAGCATTTACATGTCCATTTACAGGCAAATTTGACATAAGTGATTTCTACAGTACCATCAGGTTATGCCCCGACCCTTAGGTTATTTACATGTTATCATGTCCCTTGAGTTGAGAATGCCAAGAAAAAAAAAATGTAGAATTTCCCTCCTCGCGAGTGGAAAACAAATACTGCAATGGGTATTTCAAGTTTATATTTGAAACAATCATTTATATTGCATGTTGTTTTTATATTAGGCAGGTTTCATAGTGTATATTCAGCAAACATAATCCAGCCAGCACCCACAAGCTGTATAGTAGTCGTATATTCTTTATTCAAACTGCTAACATAATTAAAGCCAATGATCAACAAAAATAACACAGGTAGACAACATATTCTGGAGTTTGAATGCAACAAAACGTTGCTTCTTAATTGAGTAGTTGCTTTATCTTTACAATAGCCCTGTGATTGAGAATTCTTACTGTTTGACACTGAAAATAGAATTTAGTATTCTAACAATTTTCATATTGCGTGATAGGCATGAACCAAATGTTTGATTTTGAAGTTGCATATCTCTTTTTAGAACTCAATGTCGAAATGCCGATCTCTCAGAGGGGAATATGGCATTGAGAAACTCTTATGTCATCAAAATTGACCATCCTCAAATGTGTATATATTATTAGCTATGGAAGTAACTCCAAATACTTTCATGTTAGTTGGATCCCATGTGATACCACTACAACACTATAACTTTAGTTTGTCATGTTTTTTATGTTTAATTTGTCTATTAAATTTATGTTTTTATGTAGAACTATATAGCACAGTATTTTGTTTTCTAGGACATCTCTTAACTTATTTTTATATTCTGTATATATATTCATAATGTTTGTAGATACTACATGTATTCAGTTTTTTTATTTTGTACACTGCTGATGATCTTAAAAGAGGTAATATGGATAACTTTGAGTTCTGTTTCAGTGAACAGAACACAGCGTGATAACCACCGCCCTTTAATTCCAGCTTAATATTTTGCAATATTTTTAATTATTTATAGTAAAATTATAATAATATTATAAAAAAAAAAATTTTTTGCAGTAAATACATCATGAAAACTAAGTGCATATGCATTTACATATCTGTAAATTAAGTGTACGTGTTTGTCATTTAGTGAGTACAGCTATGTTTACTGCCAATACAATGTGTTTTTTTTTAGATGATAAAATATTTTATCATGATGCAGCATCAAACATAATTAAATACTGTATTTGCTCTATTAGTAGCATACACACTTAACTAAATCAAATCCTCTCATACTAGTATTTTAATTATCCATAAATCATTGCCGTATGTGCGTATCTATTTGTGATGCATATCTAATAGAGAAAATACAGAATACAGGGCAGAATGGTGGCGCGACTTGGGGGGTGCACAATGCTTATTTTGGAAAATGCGCCGGCGCATTCCGGTGACGCAGAGTACTGATTTTGACCCCTTCACATACCTCAAAATACAGTATGTCTGAAAATACTTAAGGATGTCCATATTTCTTGTTTAAATTTAATATTAATACTGGTGACTGACATCAGTGGAATCGGAGTAGTGTCTATCATTAAAAATGATAAAAAACAGATGTCTGCCTGTGGGTAACCATCTAAAGTGCTCTATTGTCTTATTAGGATAGTTCTTTCCCAATTACTGATTGATAAATGAATCGAAATTCTAGATATTTACAAATGTTGAAGGTTTTATAATGTATATGTATGTTAATATTATTTTAAATCGTCCTGAATTGATCCATAGTAAAATACATGTATTTCTATTTCTGTATTTTTGAAATTGCGCCCTCTAGTGATATATATCAAGCTCCCTTTTTTTTATCGGCTTAGAATATGAAATATTTATTTATGTAATAATTGAATTACATTGAACAAGAGGAACAAAAAAAAATCTTACTATTTTTTGCTCAACTATTCATAACCTATGTAAAACATCCAGATTTGTCATAAAAAAACATGTAATACAAAGCTAACTTGAAGTGTTACAGTTGTCATGTTTGATGTGGGACCCACAGCAATGTATGCAGTGTATGTAAAATACTTTGTTTGTTAACATGAAATTTAAACACGCTGCATGACGACTGTAGCACTTAAACAGTTGGGAATACACTTTATATCTAGTTTATTAGATCAAAAATTATTTTAATCAAAATGTGTTTTTGTTAATCGTTAGGTATGAAATTCCAACAGTGCCTTTGTTATTATGACTTGATATTAGGTTTGCATTACATTGGTATGTGTCTGTAAGCAACTATATATTTTAGAAGAATTTAATCCAGCTGGAATTTCTTTTCTCTTGGTTTAAAAAAATATTAGAAAAGAATATACAGACACAAAAAGTTTTAAGGTCAGGGGATCATGTTAGTATTAAATTGGCTGTACTTGTGTTACCCCATGGCTGTTAAACGTATAGTTGTTATTATCTTGTTAGGTTATTTATTTACTATTGATAATTACTTTACTATTTAAGATTATATAGAGTTTTGTAGCATAATGTTTCTTCACTTAAAGCTGGGGAGTCGTCACCTGCACATGCGTCAGATGGCCATAGCGTATCATTGTTTACATTGTTATCGTCGCTTAGGACTCGATTGTCGCGCGTGCTCAGGTGATGACTCTCTTGCTTTAATATAATTTTCAATGTAAGACAGATATTCTAAATTGTTACTACCAGTGGTAAAATATTTCTTGATTTCTTGTATATATTAATTGCAATAAATAAATTAGTTTAGACTGCCTTTATAGTGTTGTATCTTTATCAGTTCCCGTTCGGACGAAGTCCGAAAACGGGGACTTATAATTTGGTCTCCGTCCGTGCGTCTGTGCGTCCGTTCGGAGTCATATCTCAGAATCCCTCGGACCAATTCCGTTCATTCTTTGCATGTGCCTAGTACTTTATCTGGGACATATGCATGCAGTGGTTTAGCGATTCGATTCAAAATGGCCGACTGGCAGCCATCTTGTTTTTTGAAAATGTTGTATTTTGGACATGCTTTGTCAGTTTTCATTCAAATTTGGTACATAGATTATACATGTTAGGATACATGTCCATGACGATTTATTTCACAATTGGATCAAAGATGGCTGACTGGCAGCCATCTTGTTTTTTGAAAATGTCGTATTTTGGACATGCTTTGTCAGTTTTCATTCAAATTTAGTACATCGATCATACATGTTAGGATACATGTCCCGACCGTCCGTGAGTTCCTGAGTCTGTCCGTCCGTTCATCTGTTCGTGCGTCAGTCTGTCAATAGTAATATTTCAGAATCCTGTGGACCGATTCTGTTCATTCTTTGCATGTGCCAAGTACCTTATGTGGGACATATACACATGCAGTGGTTTAGCGATTCGATTCAAAATGGCCGACTGGCAGCCATCTTGTTTTTTGAAAATGTTCTATTTTGGACATGCTTTGTCAGTTGTCATTCAAACTTGGTACATAGATTATACATGTTAGGTTACATGTCCATGACAATTTATTTCACAATTGGATCAAAGATGGTCGACTGGCAGGCATCTTGTTTTTGTTTTTTTATGCGGTATCATGGAAGTGCTCTGTCAGTTTTCATTCAAATTTGGCACATACTTGTACTTTATACATGTTAGGATGCATGTCCATGACATTTTGTTTAAAAATTGGTCGATTGACAGCAATCTGACTTTTTGGCCTTACTACTATATTTCCACAATTTATGTACCAATTTCATTCGTATTTGGCACATACATCATACATATCAGTGTGTTTCATAATCAGATCAAAGATGGCCAAATAACGGCTGTTTTTATTTTTGGCTATATTACTACTACACGGAACACATGTTTTGATGTAAATAAACAATCTGTTGTATACGCCACTTGGAACTCAATTTTCAAGGACACGCTCACGACAACCCCCCTGCTTCAATATGACAAGCACAAAGAGAACTTTCAAAAATTTAAAGGGGACTGTCATTTTCAATGACTTGTTTAGAATGATATATTCCATAGGGAAGAATATCCTGTGTTTTATATCTGCATATTAGATGTGCTACTGCCAGTTGGTATGAAGTTCTCACTTACACTGCATTGTAAAAACTTACTGAGAGAGTCATGTAATGACAAGTTGATAAAAAAAATATAATACTTTTAATAGAAACATTTGTAAAGGCAGGGCTGAGATACAAGTGGCACATACAGAATCTATAATAAAAAAACTGACTTAACTTTTTCAGCAGATTTTTGAAATGGCAGCAAGCAAAATAGGTTTTTGATAAAATTATTAGATCGAAGATTTTTTTAGTGCAAAAAATCTAGTTTATGCTGCTTTTAGATTCCCTTCAACATATGCAATAATATTAACACAAGGTTGCTCTCAAGAGGGTAAAATTCACTGAAAAAATTAAGTAATATTTTCACAACACTTGATCGCACAAACTCAGGTGGCATGATTTTGTATCTTGGAACATCACTACCAACTGTCAATTCAAACAAAATGTCTCCAACACTTTCCAAAACAAAATAATTAAATTACTTTTTAAAAATTGATGGATTTCACAGGCTGTGAATCCTTTGAATAGTTTATCATGTTTGACTGACAGTACAAATTGTCCCACTACAAATGAATTTTATTGACAAAAGAAAGATTTGCTTAGCAAAGATGTTTTGGAAATGAAGTAGCAGAATATAGAAAGTATGTTAAATAATAACTTGGTAGTCAATGATAATAAAAGAGTATGGAACTGTCACAGGATATAAAAGGTTATTACTTACTAGCTAGTTGTCTTATAATAAACATCAAAGATACTTGTACAAGGTAATGGGTGCATCAATACAAAAGACAATCAAAACGGGTACGTGTAACATTGGGTAAGCAAACCCAACTAAGTCCCAAATTGATTTCCCTAAAATCCCACTCACATAACTTTGTTCTGTTATCATAATTAACACAACTTCATCCATTGTAAACTTTTGTCAGATTGGTTAAAATCATGGCAATAAATTAATTCCTCTTTTCTGAAAAGACAGATTTGGACAGAATTGAGATATTATCAATATCAGAAAAACATTAACATTTGTGATTAATGTATTTTTTCTTCTGTCATTCATATTAGATTCTTACTAAGAACAGATTTCTAGAAATATCTCTTTACATACCATTTTTAATTGGGCCACAGTCCCCAGACGACTCTAAAGCCAGAAACGTCAAGGGGTGGTTATTTATCTTAAACTACAATCTTACTTGAAATATTCTCATACTTTTCAATAACTGAACTAATGTGATACAACAGTTTAAAGTTTTAATATAGTTAAGATTTATTCTTGCTTATTGATGTTTATTTTTAAAATCGCACACTTTTCACCAAAATGAACAATTATACAATACAGGTACCCGGTATATCTTGAAACTCCTGATGAAACTTCAGTCGTGGCAGAATATTGTTTGGCAGAATATTGTCGCATAAGTTTGTTACCTAACGTTTTTGTGTAGACAAACAATGAAGTCATGAGCAGAAAAAAAAAACTTATTTCCTCACAATTTGCCTATATTTAGCTCAGATATAGAGTGGTTCCTCAATGGATTGGATGATCGAAGAAGACCGGGATATAATCCCGGATTCGTCTTTAAAATTGGGGAGGAATTTGCAAACTCTAAGTTTGAGATCTAAAACACATGTCGTCGAGAGAGAACAATATCGGTCTGAAATTGCAGAAGAAAATACTAGTGTTCTGGTCTGAGCTGGCTGTAATTCTCCCAGATAACTACCGCCAAATACAGTAGTGTGACGTAACGATCGTGGTGTAAGATTGAAATAAATAGACAAATAAATAAATACAGGACCCACCTTTTGGTGGGTACTTTTATTTTTAACTTGTGAATATTTCCTTTTAAGTTATATTCTGCAAATTATTTAAAGCTTCAGTACTGCCGACATTAAATATTTAGGTTGAATTCACTGGACGAATGCACTCTGATTGTCTCCATGTGTTTCATATTTTCTATTTTTAGACTTCTACTCGACTGCGCAAGCCTGAGTGCTTTTATACTAATCAAATAATAATTTAGACCCCGGTCAGCAAATATAATTTATAAATATAAATAACATTTGTAAAAGTATATCAGAATTGGAAGTGTTTCACCGAGAAAATGTGTGTACTTCTGAGCCAAATACATATATTTCAGTCAGCAGATTGCTTGTCTCATACAATGATATAGACATACAAGAGTGTGTTATAGATATGCCGGCATTCCACAAGCGAGACCACAGGGAACCTAGGAACTATATTAATTTCTTCCTTTTTTTTTTTAATTTTAATTATTAGTTT